AGACCTCGTTTGCTGCTGAGATCCTGTGGGAAGCCCTTCTCGCGCGCGCCCATCTCCGGGGAGGGAGGGAACGTGTGGCTTCGAGGGGGCGTCAACTCCGGACGGACTCTGGAGTCAGATAGGTCTGAGACCTTTCCCCTCCAGACGGTCAAAGCTGGTTCTCTGCCCCCCATTCCTCCGGCTCGGTTCCTTGTGTATATCTGAACTCGGAAAGAAGCGCAACTTCTTTTGCGCTGCGGGGGAGGGGAGGCGCTGAGGCTGAGGGTGAGGGTGAGGGGCCAGGCGGTCCGGAGACACCAAGGGAAGTGAAATGGGTGCCTCTCCCCCTCGAGGGAGGGAGGCGGCGAGACAGGTGGATTTCACAAAAGACACCCGCAGGTGGCCGGCTGTAGTGCCCAGGAAGGGGCAGGAGAGCAGCAGGTGCTGCTGCCCATTTCCTGCCAGTTTTCCCTGGCAGCCTTCTACAGCTGGACAGATGCATGGCCCGTGGGGCTGCGGGATCAGGCGGCTGGGCAGCAGTTCAGGCATGGCAAGTGGTGAGGGGTACTGTGCCTGCCTGCCTGCCTGGCTGGCTGGAGGATAGCCGGTGGTGGCTTTCTGCTTGTTGCCCTTTATAGCCTGGCCCCCAATGGGTTACGCAACAACAGGCCGCTCTGCTTATTTTGGGGGTGTTAAATTATGGACGAAAGAGGAGTTGGGCTTTGTTCAGCTTTCTCTCACGTCACCAACCACGTCAAGGCCTGCTGAGGCTGCTCCCCCCCCCTTTCACCTCCCAACCCTACCCTACAGCTCAGCTGGCCTTTCTATTTCAACCCCAATGGGGGGGGTGGTCCAAATTTAAGAGCAGGGGTTGTGTGTGAGCTGCCTCAGCCTTTGATGGCGCTGAAGCACTGCTTTCTACACATACTCACACACACACACAACTTCTGAAGTGGGTCTCTTTCAAGATGGGTGGATCTTGTTACTCATTCTGTGCAGAAGTCCCAAGACTAGACTTTCCCAGCCCGGTGCCTTTCCCAGCACAGTCCCAGTGTTGGACTACAGCCCCCATTATCCCCGGCCAGCATGGTTGGCTATGCTTTCTGGGATTTTAGGAGCTGGAGTTCAGTCAATTGGGAAAGCACCCCATTTGTGGACAGTGAATGCAAGTAGGCAACTATACCGGCAGCTGGAAGGATATAACTCAGACCTGGACAATGAGAGACCTGTTCCAAATGAGCTTGGAAATGGCACTCCAGAAAATAGGATATATCTAAACTCCTGGCTAGCTACTAGTCTCCACTTACAGGGGAGACAGAGGGGGTCTCTTCAATGACGGATGTGAAGCCCTAGATAGTGCCTCCCCCCATGTTGTCTATTGTCAATTGATCTGCAGCACTCTTTTGGCATATAGGCTGGCAACTGAAGATTTAAACAGTACCATTCCGTGAGCTGTTGCTGGCCCAGGAGCTTGTAGTCATTGATCTTTACTCTATGGGAAGGTTGTAGGGTCAGCCCTGAGATATGGTACTTAAGAGCAACAGCATCAGCATTGCCATTCCTCTGATCTCAGAGGAGATTCATGTGATGGAGTGGCTGAAATTCTCAACAACTGTACTACAGTGTGAAAGGTTTTAAATACAGCCTTTGAGTGCCACAGGATATTTTGTTCTTGCAAGGGTGGGTAAAACCAACAAGCAACAGCTAAAAATCCATACAGTCCTGCTTTAAGCCAGTAGAGTTGACACCAGGGAAGGATGTGTGTGTGTGTGCAAATCTTTCTGTCTTGCAGTAGTCCAGTCGATATCCATGTCCTGGTCTTCTGATGAATGCTCTGCTTGAGAGCAAAGAAGCAGGATCATGTGTTTAGGTGTGTGCTTGTTCGTCTCCATTTGGTAGTATTGTTCCTATGAGTTGAAAATATGGAAGATTAGTCTGGACAAGGAAACAATTGTTGCCCTTAAGAGAAGCAGTAAAAAAAAATATTTTCACAGGAAAGTGATAGGAAATAATGCTATTTCTTCTTTTCAGTCCTGAGCAGTGATAAATCTGGAATTGCAGATATTCAGTATAACACTGCCCATAGACCAGCCATTCTCAACTGGCGCCCTCTAGGGGGCCCTCTAGAGGGCCCTGGCACATTTGAAGGGGGCTACAGACTGGAAACAGTTCTTCAAACACCACCTTATAAGGTTCATTTTGCGACATACAATTCTGATTTGGTCTCTATTTCAAATTGTGTTTATGGCCATGGCAAAAAAAAAGTTGTTGAGAAAGGCTTCCATAAACAGTAGTCATAACCAATAGATTTGGGGAGGGGTTTAAGATCAGTAGCTCTTAATTGCCCAGTCAAGGCGAAGCCTTTCTCAAATATGTATTCGTGAAGGCTTTCACGGCCGGGTTCTAATGGTTGTTGTGGGTTTTTCGGGCTCTTTGGTCATGTTCTGAAGGTTGTTTCTCCTGACGTTTCACCAGTCTCTGTGGCCAGTATCTTCAGAGGACTGGAGTAGGAACTCTGTCGATGCTCTGTTGGTGTTTGTTGGATAGTATTTATAGCTATGGGAACAGCTTTTGTCTTTTTTTCAGGAGATAGGGTGATCAGCATGTTTTTGTTGTGATGAGGGAGGGGGGGAGAGGGAGAGATTATCTGTCCCTGGGGTTGATGGGTGTTGTTAGCTGGTCTTTTTTGTGCAATGATCTCTGGCCCTTGTGGCTGGGTAAGAGTTTGCTGACCCTTTTGCAGGTTGTATTTTTCAGAATGGGCCGCCAGGCCGGGTTTAGTTTCAGGCCTTCTTCTTTCCTGTTGAAGTTTTGTTTATGTTTATGGATTTCAGTGGCATTCTCAAATACTTTGTACCACAGCAGGGATAACTTGCAACAACCTATCTCCTTGGGAGAATCCATTTCTTTCCTAGCTGCTACGAGTATTGCAGCTAAGAGGGAAGATGATGAGGAGGGAAGGTATGAAGGATGTCACAGTCCCTACTACTCAGGGAGTCTTGGGGCTTTGACTTTGTGAGCCCTGGCTTCACAATATGACTGCACATGTCTCCTGACATTGGTTTCACTTCTATATCTCAGGCCACAAAAGGATACTCCCTGTGGATACGATCAGTAGGAATGGACTTGCAATCTTGGCATGATGGCTAGTTTCCCCAAGTCATCTTGATTCATCAAGACGATGGCCTCAGATCACACGATGGACCAGTGAAGGGTTGGGTGCTCTGTAGATAGTTCCCTGTGAGAAGCAAAAAGCTGCTCTGTCCCTTACTTAGCTCCCTTTCCCTTCCTGATACATTCTCCCCCCCCCGCCCCCGCAACTCCTCAGCTGTTTGCCTTTCAGCTGCCTTGACCACTGGGTCCCTCTGGTAGGATGTCCCACCCTTTGGCTTACTATTTGCTTCCCCCGTGTAACTAAAGGGGACACACTTGTTGGGTGCATTCCTGGTGGGTGCTGTGCACCTGGGCATTGGGAGGGGTGGGCACTGAACTGCTGAAGGCCTTTGTCCGGCAAGGTATCCCTGTTGTGGGCTCCTACTGCTCTCTCCCTCTCTGTCTCGTGGGGTGAGTTGTTCCTACACCTTCCCCAGAGAGTGATCATTCATCACAGTACTGTAGTGTGGTTAAAAGCTAGAAGGACATGGAGGGACTTGTACTAATCGGAGTACAAACTGGAATTATCTCAGGCAAGGTTAATGAACATTCAGCAGAGCTTCCTTCTCGGAGAAGGGTTGAGGGTTTAAATCTCTGAAGAGGCATTTTAAGGGGGAGATGCCTTCATTCTCTCTCTCTCTCTCTCTCAATCTCTCTCTCTCTCTCTCTCTCATGCCTGGGGAGGGGCTTGGCTGGATTTGGGCAGAGATTACAGGGCACAGATGATTGATGTGATGGCCGCCTTGTGTTAAGGAACATGGGGACTAGAGTAGCTTCTCAAGCTAATGTGATCTGCTAGTGTTGTCTCCATGTTTCAGAAAATTGTGAATGAGCCTCTTCTTGCAGTTCCTAAAAAAATCCACTAAAGCCTTTTTGTTCTGTATGACAATTAGAGTTTGGGGAATGATCTCAGGGCTGGGAAGGAGAAGAAAGCTAAATATCAATGGGTAATCTTGGGAATTGCTAGGAAGCAGGAGATGGTGGGCTGAGGTGGAATTGGGCAGGGAAGTCAGCAGTAGCTCCATCGGAAGTGGGTCTGCATGACAGAGAAAGAGACGGAGTGTATATCTCTGTGTGTCTGTGTGTGTAGGGAGAGGTCAGCAGTATGTACCACTTGCCTGTAAACTCCCTTCCCCCAGGACAATCCAGGGAGGCCAGAGGGCTTTTATGGGGAGAGATGAGAAGCTTCCAAGCCCTTCCCCTCCCTTTTCTCTGCCCAAGCTCCAGCGAAAGCCACAGGCCTGAATTATGGATGAGACTCCTTAGGTTACAGCCGTTCCACCGCACCAGAGAAGAGTCCAAAGACAAGAAGCAGTCAACATTAGCAGCAGCTGCCGCTCCCTCCCCCACCCCACCCCCAGCTGGAGAGAAAGATTTCTCCCTTGTTTTCCCTGGAGGGGAGAACTGGCCTGCCATGATTGTTCTAGAGGAAATGGTCATTTGCTGGGGGAACACAAGCTTCCTTCCACCCCACCTAGGCTCTGGGGAAGAAGGTGGTTTTATAGCTGGGTGAGAAAGTGTGGAGCAAGGTGGAGCTGGGTTTCCTTCCCCGTTCAGTGTGCTAAATGGGGCAGTGATGGCTGTCTGCTGACCTGGTCCTTTCCACCCCAGCAGGAGCCTTGCACACATTCCTTGCTTGCCCATGAGGAGATGACCACTCTGTCAGTGGTCAGTGCAAGACTTGGGGGCAAAGAAAGGGACCTGGGGAGGGGGGGGAAGAGCTCTGCTGGAGGCCAGGGAATTAGGCTACTGACCTGAAGAGAGAAACTGGCATAAAGGTTGCCTCTCCCTGACCCCCATTTCAGGAGAACGGGAGGGAATCACATTGCAGTGCCCAGTTGTGAGAGCAAACTTCCTGATAAGAAAGCAAAAGAGGGATCAGATGGTTCTTTGTTATAGGGACAATTCATGACGCCTTTGTATCTTAGTCAGAAAGAGCTTTTTCCCAGTGCTCAGACCCTACAGTGAATGTACGAAGATTGTAAGAGGAATATGTCTTGCTGAATGAACCTGGAAACAACCATTTTCCCCCTTTGGTAGGTATGGTACTGGTAGGAATAGAGATGTGCCAATATCTGTGGCTATTGGCGTTGCGTGAAGGACCCTGCCTGGTGCTTGTCATGAGGAGAATGAAGGCTGAAAGGAGTGGGAAGAGCGCGTAGGGCCCAAGCGGAGATGGTGTGAACGACTGAAACGGTATCAGCAGCTTGTGTTACTCGTTTACCACGTCACACCACCTACGCCAATACAGACAGAGGTTGGGAACTATGTACCGCCTGCATGGGAGTGCTCACGTGAGGCCATCTGTGCACATATGTGCACAGTGACAACGTACGCCTGGCTTGCCGAGGGAAAGCGCACGCACCCGCCTGCCTTCTCACGTGGGATTCTGCCTCGGCAGAGTTGCCAACTCAGGTGATTTTTGTGAATTTCATGATTCGGGGATTGTTTCTCTTCTCATCCTCCAGGTTCTTGAGGAGTGGGAGGCTTTTGGCTTTCTTTTCTTGAAATGGAAGCAGGCAGTCCGTTCCCAAAGAATGAGAACAGGAGCTGGGAAGCATAACTGGAAAAAGTAGAGCTTCTGTGGGACACCGTATTGTCAGTCTGCCTTAATCTTTTGACGTTTCAGTGCAATGGAAAGCTTGGCACTTGAGCCATTTTGAATATGTGGACTGCGTATTTAGTGGGATGTACCAGAGGGAGTCAGTATTACCTAATAGTTACAGTAACGTGAATAGTGGTGTAATACATCAGTCTTGAAATAACCTGAGTAATGGGGGCCGGTGGGCCACACTGGCAGTATTGCACTTAATTAGGGGCTGGGTAAGTGATGATGCTCATCCTTACCTGTTCTTCTCTTCCAGGCTTGGCTCCCACGTTTCTACTCCTGCTGGCCTTGCCCCTGGGAGCCCCCTCGTGCCCTATGCTGTGCACCTGCTACTTTTCTCCGCCCACCGTCAGCTGCCAGGCCAACAACTTCTCCTCCGTGCCACGGGTCCTGCCACCCAACGCTCAGCGCCTCTTTCTGCAAAACAATCTGATTGGGACCCTGCGGCCAGGGATGTTTGGGCCCAGCCTCACCACTCTGTGGCTCTACTCCAACAATATCTCCTCCATCCAGCCAGGTACCTTCCGCCACCTGCAGGGTCTGGAGGAGTTGGACCTGGGGGACAACCGCAATTTACGCACTCTGGACCCAGACACTTTCCGTGGCCTGGAACGGCTCCAGTCTCTACACCTTTACCGCTGTCAGCTGAGTAGCCTACCGACCACCATCTTCCGCAATCTTTTCAGCCTCCAGTACCTCTATCTGCAGGAGAACAATCTCCTTTGCCTGCAGGTGAGTGGTTTCAGTTTGACATTGACACTGAGTTCATTTGGCCTCTAGAGTAGAAGTGAGCAACATCCAGATGTTGTTGGTCTGCATCTTCCATGGTTCTTCCCATTGTTGGGAATTGTAGCCCAATATCTATAGGACTGGGCTTTGCCAACTCCTGTCCTGGACCATTGGGTCTGCTATGCAGAGCTGTTGAGAATTGTAGCCCAATACCTAAAGGACTGGGCTTTGCCAACTCCTGTCCTGGAGAGGGCAGGTTCGCAGGTGGGCAGTGGCATGGGATCTCCTTTGTCGTCTAGTGGCCCTTTGAGTAGACCCGGTTCCATGTTATGGATCTTTGTCCCTTGTGAAAATGCACGTCCAAGTTGGTTTTTGAAGAAACATTCCTGCTGCTGTGGCAGAGGGTGGGGATTGAGGATGAGAGTTTGGGAAGGGAAGGGGGTGGGTAGGTGGAGGGCAGGGTAGGATAGGACAGACTGTCCTTTGGGACCAAAAGATACAGGGAGAGCCACGACTCCTGGGTTTCAAATGACTGTGAGGACAGGTGAGAAACAGGCCCTGGGGAGAAATCCCACTTCCCTTGGTGAAAGAGGGGGGAAGCAGGAGTGCTGATAGTGATTCCCCAGGTAGATGGCTTAGCATGTGAATTCCTCTCTCAAGAGGGCAAACTAAGCCCCCCCCCCCGCCTCTAGGCTCCACTCTTATCTCATCAGAAGGGTGGCAAAGCACTGATGTGGCTCTGAAGCCTCCTCCCTTCTTCCAAGTATTTTCTCCCTGAAGGCAGATGCTCGGGTGCCCTGCCAGCGACTCACTTAAAAACCACATGCCTCTCCAGCCCTGGGCACTGTGGCTTCAGAGGAGGGGAAGCTCCAGCCTGGCCTGCAGCAGTAAAAATGCACTTATAGATGTTGCCTCCCTGCTTCAAGCCACATCCGTAGTGGAGGGAGGGGCCCAGGGTTGGTTGTGGAAGGAGGAGAGGAGGGAGGGCCCCTCTTTGGTGCCTCTTTTGTGGTGCAAGACATCCAGAGCAGGAGTCAATAAACTTTATGTTTCTACTCAGCAATAGACTCCTGCCTAAGGGCAGGAGGGAGGGAAGAACCTAAGAAGGGCAGTAAACATTGAGTCTTCAGCAGCAGCTGATAATACTCCCTGTGTAGGAGAGAGCTTTTGGGACAGTCCATTCTAAGATGCCTCTTCTTCATACCTCTTTCTTCTTCCTCAATCTCCCAGGATGACCTTTTTGTGGACTTGGCTAACCTGAGCCATCTTTTCCTCCATGGCAACAAGATCTGGCAGCTCTCAGAAAACGTCTTCCGGGGCCTGTCAGGATTAGACCGCCTGTTGCTCCACAGGAACCGCCTGCATGCTATTCCCACGTGGGCCTTCCGTGACCTGGGCAAGCTCACCATCCTGTATTTGTTTAACAATAGCCTGGCCACCCTCTCTGGAGAAACCCTCTCCGACTTGCCCTCCCTGGAATTCCTGCGCCTCAACAACAACCCGTGGGCCTGTGACTGCCGCTCCCGCTCCCTGTGGGCTTGGTTCCAGCGCACACGGGTCTCCGTCTCTGACGTCCTGTGCGCATCCCCTGCAGAGCGCAAAGGACGGGATATGCGTTACCTCAACGAAGAGGTCTTTCAGAACTGCCCTCTAGTCAGCCACCACCACCCTGTTGGCTTTGACTGGGGCTGTCGGCCTGAATGGGAGAATGGAGCCGTTCACCCCCACCCCCACCCGCACCCTCGTCCTCATCCCAATGGCTCATCCAATCACCTCTATGGCCTCGGAGGGTCTCCTCCTGCAGATCCATCCTCCTTCTATAGGGACGTGCCAGCCAATGACATCCGCAGCCCCAAGTATGACCCACCCACGGAAGATGACCATTGGGGGGGCTATGGTAATGAAGAAGGAGGGCAGCTGAAAAAGGGGTGCCCAGGACCGGGCTGTTCTTCTCTGGACTCGGGGGCTATCAGGATTGGCGCCCTCTCACTTCCCTTTCCCTGCTTACTGATGCTGTGGGGGCCTTCCTGGTTTTGACACTGGAGGGTGGCCGCCCTGCTAGTTGGCTTTGGGGACTGAGACTGAGAGATCCACACCAGGGATGGATCTCCACTCGGCACTTAGCTGAGGCCAAAGTGTTTAACCTTTGCCCTGTCACAGGGATCAAGGAAGACTAGATCCATTGCTGCTGCTGCTGCTGCTTTCCTGACCAATTAAAACTAGAGCCACTTTCTGGGTGGCGTCTGTCATATTTCTGGAACATATGGCAAAAGTGCTCCTCTTTTTTAATTTTTGGGATATTGCATAACTTTCCCTTTCAAGATGTTCTCTAAATGCTCTTTCTTACTGGGTCTTTCCGAGGCTTCTCTGGCTTCTGTCTCCAGGAAAAAGCAAGGCTCTCTTCTGTGCATGTGAAGGAAGTATGGGATGTATGAGAAACCAATGTTCAGGGGCCTCGCTTCTTTCTACAGAATCCTACCATGCACAAAAGTGCCTGCTTTGCCCAAGTGGATGCTGATCCTTCACCTGAAAGGCAGAAACACTGTCCCCTTCCAGAGCTTAAGAAGACTCTAGGGCCCTCCTCACTCTTGACTCCTCCCCATTATCTTTTCATTTTTCTTTTTCTTTCTTTTCTTTTTCTTCTTTGGTGGGAACTCCAAGGGACCAATTCACATAATCAGTTATGCTGGTTACCAAGTGGAAAGTTTTGCTGATTAACCTCAGACTTTTTGGGGGCTCATGTTCAACATGATGATGAAGGTTGCTCTGCCAAGTGTTTTGCCCATCCTCATCAGAAGGTGGCGAGCTCTTCAGAGGTTTTAACACCATCTATCAGAGAGATACAATAAGGCTGGATTTCTTGTGTGGGGTGGACTAAATGACCTTTGCGGTCCCTTTCTGCTCTGATTAAATCTTTAGACAACAACAAGATTGCGTGAATTGGCCCTTTGTCAATAACATTTGAGTTTGTCTTTCCTCTGGTGCCTCTATCTATTCATCCTCTTTTTAGCCAAAAAGGAGGAAACAGGTTGGTTAAAGACTAATGAAATGCATAGAATTGCTATGAGGGGAGTGTTAGTTAAGGCCATAGTGCTGACTGGCAGGAAGTTAATTTGGGGAGATTAGCTTGCACTTTCCCCATCCACATACCCATTGTGCTCACGGCAGTAGATCCTGATCTAGCCCACCACTAACTGGCTATTGAGAGAGACCGAGGCTGAAACACCTCTTCTTTCTGGCTTATTCAAAATACTCTTCTCACATTGTTATTTTTTTTGGGGGGGGGGACTGAGGCTGTGGAGCACATCTGTGACTGTTATCACCTGGATTTGTCACAGAGTGTATACTTGACAGGGTAACATGATTGGTTTTGGCTCCTTAGTGTGTACCACTAAGATAGAAATGTTTCTGGCAATCAAAAGCTTTCTTTGTAATGATGTACACCTCAGTCATGAAATGTACAAAAAAGGCCTCAATTGAGCAAATCATGAAAATTTCAGAACCCAAGCTAATTCCAAATACCTATAGGTTTTTACAGGCTTAGGTTTGAATGTCAGCCTCTACTTACATCTTATTAGCCTGGAATATTATTTCTTTCCAATATTTATATACTGCCTTTCAACCCAAACTCCTCCATGTGGTTTACAGAGTAAAACTGGACAATTAAAACATCTGAATACTGATGCTTTTGCTACACATTTTCTTGTGCTCTCTTTGGTGGGCAGGATGTTGTTTGAAGGAGAAATCGTAAGAGTGGCCTCTGGGATTCAAGAGTTCTTAGAGGCGAGGCTGCTGTAGGGGCTGTGGGGGGAAAGACAGAAAGACTCCAGTCGCTACTGTTGTAGCTTGGTCTGGCCGACAGAAGCTATAAGACTGTGCTGCATGTGAGATGCTTTAACGGTCCAGCATCAGGACAGGAAGGCTTCAAATCTTCATGTCCAAGGTGGGTGGGAGCTATGTAAAGGCTGGCTTGAGGATGACAATATGAAAGGTACAAGCAAACAAAAACCAGTCATTAATACCTTAAACACCAATCCATTTATTCTGGCATCTGGTGTTGAATGCAGAGTGAAAAGGCCTTCAACCTATGGGCATTTACCCCATAATAAATGTATTAACTTTTGGGATGGTGCAGGATATTTGCTGTGTTTACCAGGGGGAAAAAAGCATGAGTGCATCCACCACCCTGAGAGTTGACATCATGTGGAATATGGACTGTAAGGAAAAACATGTGAAGAGAAAAGATACTTATAAGGCAGGAGTGGGGGACCTGTGACCCTGCATATGTGGCTGGACTGCAGTTTCTTTCCAGCATAACACAGTGGTGACCGGTTAGGGGAGTTGCAATCAGACAAGGACTGGAAGGCCATAAGTTGCCCACCCCCCCTCCTCTCAGGCTTTTTCCAGGTGTCAAAGCTTTAGATAGAATCACTGTTCATGTTCAGGTCAGTTAAGCCAGGGAGTTCTTTCCAGACACCTAGAAGAGGGTCTCCTTCTCCAGGAAGGAAGGAGGAAACCTGCCCTTCGAAGACTGGCCACATGGAGTTTGAGAAGCCAGTATTCTCTCTCCCACTCTCTTTCTGAATCCTTGTTTTCCTCTTCTGCAAGACTCACGTCAGCATCTCGTATATAAAAATATTTATAAAGGTTGGCTGTTCCCATTCTAAAGAGAAATACTTGTCATTGACGATTCCAGTGGATCAAAGATTGTTCTTTAAATGGCATGTTAAATTGAAAATGTTCTGCGGTGGCATTTCACAGGCAGATACATTTGGGTAGGGGGTTGTACTGCTGAATTCCTTTCGTTATTTGCCCCCAAAAAATCATTTGGCAACATGGTATGCTAAAAAATTACATCGTCATCTTCCCCCATCATGTCTGGCAACAAGGAGAGCTACCCAGATCGTGAAATATCCAGTTCTTTGAGACCTTTTGATGGGAAGGGCCCCCCAAAATCTTCTGCAATGGTGAGAAAGACCCCACAGTGCTCCTCTCTGTGTGTGCGTGCATGTGTGTTTGTGTTTGAAAAGAGGGTGTGGATTTGGTGGCTGGCACCAGCCGTCTTGCCTTTTTGATGCTTAATATTGCCTTGGGGACTGTAAATTGTGACAGGGAGGGATGATGCTGGAGAGGTTCTTCTTATTTTGAATCTTTAATAGGCGCAAAGAGGGGTGGGATCGGCAACAGTTAGGGCGAAGCAGCAAGAAGAGCATGTATCTTCCTTGTCCCAGCTTTCTTAATTTAACTTCACATAAGGGAGAGGATGTGAGAGCTGGAAGAGTGGGTTATTTTTAGCATTCGAAAGCCTGCTAGTAGCCAGAGTTAAATGTGAAGAGCACAGGTGCTGCGTATGTGTATTCGGGTGTGTCTGTGAGCATCCTTGTTTGGCGAGGGGGGCAGGGGTAAGGGTTGAATCGACTGCCAGAACATTGCCAATGGTTTTAGGAGCGGGAAGGTGAGGAGGACTGAAGGCAGAGAACGCAGAGGAGGGCAGCACAGGGTTCTGGGGCTGTTGGGTGGCATTCCTGTGAAGGGTTGGGGTAGGAGCACATGAGAGTTAGGGTTAATTGGCAGGGGTGCAGGTGAAGGCCAAAGCGGCAGTGAGGGCCATGCTGAGCCGTGAAAGGGAGAGGAAAGTGCCATTAAATCTGCCAGCAAGACTCCAGTGGGCTCAGTCTTTCCAGGTCAGGTAATTATCCTTGTGAAATATTCATGACCCCTTATCCCAGATGCTATTTCAGAGCAGCAGGGGGAGAGAGAGGGATGTGAGAATGAGGGCTCAGGAAGATACAAACACGCACACGCACACACGCACACTGGCTGTGTGGCAGCAGGAATCGACAAACTGCACATCCCCTTGTACCTTGTACCCACCCTTCCCTTAAAAAGAACAATCTCCACAGATTGTGCAAGCATGACTTCCCATCCATACTGAAAATGGTGGTGTGTGTATAAGAAAGAGAGAGGAGCAGAGGCCTGTTCATTGCGTGTCCTTCACCTTGTGAAATCCACTTGCTGCCTTATTGCCTACACACTGAGCTAATGTGGAAATTGGAATGGGCTTCATTCCTGAAAAGCTAGGGCTCAGGGCGTAAAAAAAAAATAAAAATAAAAAATCTATGTCTGTAGTGGCCTCTGCACGAAGACTTCCTCTTGCTGTTCCACCTTGCCACAGGGTCTTGATTTTCATAATTAACTATCAGTTTTCCCCTGGATCTAAAGATTTTTAGAGAGATGGATCTACCCAGAGAAGGAAAGCATGACCTTGAGCTCGCAAGACCCAAGCAGAGTTGTTATTAATAGAACATTTTGACTGTAAGTCAGGTTCTCCAGGTCAAAAGTATTTGACACTACCTAACAAAAATAAAAACAACAAAGGATTTTTGATGTTAAGGATGAATGACAAATCTATTGTACTGTGGCTGTCCAAATAGAATGGCATAAACAGCAGTAGAATGTCCTAACCAAGAGAATTAATGGTACTACTCTATTCTGCTTTGAACAGGCCTCACATGGAGTACTGTGTCCAGTTCTGAGCACTACAGTTTAAAATGGATCTAACATGTCCAAAGAATGGAAGTGAAGATGGTGAAGTGTCTAGAAACCATGCATTGTGAGGAGAGTACCGTTGAGAGAATACATTTCATAGATTCATAGAAGAATGGAGTTGGAAAGGGGCCTATGAGGCTATTGAGTCCAACCAAAGTGTTTCACATGATTGTCCAACTTTGTCTTGAATGCTTCCAGTGCTGGAGCACTCACTACCTCCTGAGGAAATTGGTTCCAGTGTTGTGCTGTTCTGTTAGGATGCCTTTCCTGATATTAAACAGATCTTGAGCCCATTATTTCACATCCTCCACTCTGGAATGATCATGAATGAATCATGTCCCTCCTTTGTATGAAAACCTTTCAAGTATTTGAAGAGTCCTATGATATGTCCCCTCAGTCTTTTTTTCCTGATGGCTGAACATGTCCCGCTCTTTCAGTCATTCCTTATAGAGTTTGCTTTCAATACCCTGATCATTCTTGTTGCCCTTCTCTGAACTTGTTTGTTGACAACTTAAAAGTCTGGTGTCTGGTACTGGACACAGTACTCAAGATGAGGCCTATCAGTGCTGAATCGAGTGGAACTAGTACTTCATGTGATTTGGAGAGTATATGTCTGTTAACACAACCTAAAATAGTATTGGCCTTTTTTGCAGCCACATCACACAGTCAGCTCATATTCAGTTTGTGATGTATAATAATTCCAAGATCCTTCTCATATGTAGTATTACTAGGTAGAGTATCCCCCATCTTGTAGCTGTGATTTTGTTTTCTTTTTCTTAGATGTAGAATGCACTTATCCCTGTTAAATTTCTGTTGTTTTCAGCTCAGTGTTCAACACCTATCAAGATTGTTTTGAATTTTGTCTCTGTTCTCCAAGGCATTATCTATTCTATTTAATTTTGTGTCATCCACAAACATGATAAGTATTCCCTACACCTCCACACCCAAATCATTAATAAAAATGTTGAACACTGAGTCCAGGACTGAGCCTTGTGATCCCCTCCTTGTTACCTCCTCCCAATCTAATACCATGGATGAGCATTCTCTGAGTACTATTCTGTATCCAACAGACAGTAGTTCTATCCCGTCCACGTCACTGTCTTCAAATATTTGAGAAGTCGTCCTATGGCAGATGGAGAAAGCTGGTTTTCTGCAGTTCAGGAGGGTGGACTAGAGATGGGAAGACCTGGGGGTGGGGGTGGGAAAATTGGGGGGGACACTTCCCCCTCCCCCCATTTTTCCCCCAAAGCCATTTTATATGGCTTCAAAATTTCCAGAATTCTTGCATCCCATATCAAAGAATCCAAGTTAAAAAGAAACTAGACCTAGGAGGAACTTCTAGACAGTTAAGAACTGTTTTCCCATGCCTGGAAAAACTTCGGTATCCATGTGTAACAGAGGAGGAGGAGAAATGACACATATCCTCCATGTACAGTGTACCTGGGAGGACTGGATCCTTGATGCTGATATGGTGCATTTTCCTGTGATCTTGAGGCAGACATTTTCAGTCAGTTTTACAAGAGATCTGCAATGAATGTGGGGCTTATTCAAATTTTGTGTGATACTGGCTGTTGGGATCTGGACCAGGGCCTTGTAGGTCATGTTCTTAGCCATTGTGCTCCATCCGCTTCTAAAACAGTCATACAGTCATGGATTTGGGAAGGTTCATGAGGCTCATCTAGTCCAACCCCAGCCAATGCAGGAAATCCCAGGCTAGTAGCCACCCAACCTCTGTTTGAAAACTTCCAATGGGAGCAAGTCAATGTAGCCTCCTCTGCTGTCGATCAGTTTTTACTGTTGGTAGGTAAAAGTAAAGGTAAAGGTTCCCCTTGACAATTCTTGTCCAGTCGTGTCCGACTCTAGGGGGCGGTGCTCATCCCCCGTTTCCAAGCCATAGAGCCGGCTTTTGTCCGAAGACAATCTTCCATGGTCACATGGCCAGTGCGACTTAGACACGGAACGCTGTTACCTTCCCACTGAAGTGGTCCCTATTAATCTACTTGCATTGGCATGCTTTTGAACTGCTAGGTTGGCGGGAGCTGGGACAAAGCGATGGGGGCTCACTCCGTCGTGTGGATTCGATGTTACGACTGCTTGGTCTTCTGACCCTGCAGCACAGGCTTCTGCAGTTTAGCCCACAGCGCCACCACATCCCTTACTGTTGGTAAGTTCCTCCTAATGCGTAGGTGAGATTTGTTTTAGAAACCACATCTGTGTGGAGAGTAAATCCCTCATCCCACTCCATGCCTGAGTTCGGGTTGATTCCCAAACTTTGAGAGGCATTCATTCAACACTTCCCCAGCTTAGCCACACCATCTCTGGAGTCCATGGCTGGAGTGTCTTGTTCCTTGATCTGGCATGGGCATAAGAGGCCTGGGCTGCTCAGGTATTTGTTTGTTTTATAGGAGGCTTGCGTAATGCCATCTCTAGCAGCATATAGACAGGCCTGGAGTGGACCAAGGTAGAGCTGGAGTGCTCGTGCCCCCCCCCCCAGTAGGACTAGCTGAAATGGTGCAAACAATGCAAAATAAGTAATCTGTCAAATTTATTTATTCTGAATCCTTCCTTCAAATAACATGTTGTATTACCTTGGTAGAGAATTTAATTT